TGAGGCCCCCGACATGGTAACTATAACCAGATAGAAACATTCCTCACAGAATTAGTCTCAACCGCTCTGCTGGCACAAACTCAGCCACATCCCCAGCATGACCTCAGGGGAAGTAACACTAGATCTAGAGCTCTGGGGACAATTCACAGCCACCTCCTGCAAGGTGACCTAAAGATGCTGCTCCACATCTAAAGATGTCATATAGGCTCAGCAAGAAGGAACCTGGCACCACCCCATGGCCCATTCCAGGACGAGATACATACACATGGGAAACAATCACCCATACCTGGTGTTCTAGGGAAGACTTCCCAGGGAAGATGGTCACAGTGCCCAAAGCATGCACTCAGATGTTCACAAAAGGACTCACATGACAGATGTGTCTCGGGTGGATGGAGAAATGTGAACCAGGTAAATTCTTGCCACAGGAGGAACCTCTTCTGCAAACAGCTTCACAGGATGCTTTCCTGACATCCCTCATTGCTTTTCAGTTCCTTCTGTTATGGTTTATGTTCCTTCAGTGCTGGCTCTCTGGAAACTGAAAAAGAGCAAAACACAACTCAGACGAGCTGCATTCCCAAAACCCAACACACGGGCTTTCAAACCAAAATAAAACAAAAATGGCATAAGTGGGTAGGCAGGTAATTTTTCTACCCCTTTGCATTCAAATGAGACATCTGAAACCCTTGTTCTGATTTGGTGAGTTGCAACAATTTAATGGCCTATTACAATTCTATAATTTAATAGCCAATTCTAATAGCCTGTTACAACTCTGATTGCCTAGTACCCTTAGTGTTAGTAGTCAATCAGTAAACAAAAATATAAATATATGTTGGCATAAACTTGTAAACCCAGAACTCTGAAGGATGAGGGAGGGAGAAAAGGATGTTGCACCTCATCTTAACAAATTAGTGATTTAAGGAAATTCCCAGTCAAAATTTTAAAAAAATTAATAAGACTGGAGTTGTAGCTCAATGTGAAGGCCAAAGTTCAGTCCCCAATATTGCAAAGAAGGGAGGATAAAAGCTAAAGAGAAAGGAAGGGAAGTAAAATAGGAGGGTGGGCTACAGGCAGGCAAGCAGTCTGACTATTTGATAATCCCACTAGCAGGTCCACAAAAGAACAAACTGGTCAGTCTGACTGCACGGAATTAAGAATTTGTCTGTGCAAGATTGTCAGAATGAAAAGATGAGGCACAGAGAGAAAACACTTGCAAAAAATATATATTGAGTGGAGTTGTATTCCAAAAACAAAGACCACTTCCAATTCAACAATATGAAAATGACCCAATAATCACCTTTATGTATGTTAATTTAAATAATAAAACACTCTGAGGTAAGTCATAAAGTCTTATTTTATGCTACAGGATTTAATAATCTATTTTAATAAATGAAAAAAATTAACGAAACTAGCATTTGATGTACAAAAATTTTAGAATGTGGATTGCCTTGGAAAGGTGCTCACATATAATTTGGAGAGACCTAATGACAGAAATGGTGTATCACTTATTTCTCACTATAGACATTTTCCTAAGGAGTGAGAAATAAATTTCCAGCAAATGATAGGCTTTAAAAAAAGAGCAAGAGTATATTGGTAAATCGGGAATGCTTTTGGCTAAATTGTGACAAATGTCACATGTAAGATGTGTTATCCAGATCATTAATGCAAGTCATAACGTATTTGTAAAGAGCAAAGAAGTTTTTTATTCCTTTCCCTGGAAAATTGTGTACTTAGTGTATTACTTTCCTCTTGCTGAGACAAAATACCTGACACACACAACTGAGAAGAAAGGCAGTTTATTTTGGTTCATGGTTCCAAACCACAGTTGGTTGGCTCACTGGGGAGAAATGTAATGGAAGAGGACATCTGTTCTACCCAGGAAGCCAGGAAAGACTGGAGGAAGAAAAATTTTGTGGGTGTGTGTGTGCACGCGCACGTATAGGTCTCAGCCCCAATGACCACCTCTTTCAACCCGGTCTCACTACCTAACAGCACACTGTAATAAACTCATCAATGGATTAACCCACTTATGGTGTATCATGTCACATGATCCACTCATTTTCAAAAACCCCACCACTGAACACATAAGACTTTGGGGGGACATTTTTATCTAAGTAACACCACAGTAAGCGTTTCATCATTATTGTTGTAGAGAAGCAGCGCTAATAGCATATTCAGCTGTGAACTCATCAGTGGATTAAACATTTCACTTTTACTGCTCTCAATAAGCAGGAAATTACTAGTGCCAAATTAGAAGAGAAGTGTAGGGGCTTGGTAATTCCCCAAATGGAAATGAGCCACTTCTTCCTGTACATGGTACATCATGAAAAATGGAATGAAAACACAAAGGGTAGGAGATGAAAGACATGTCTACATTGGGAGCAAAAGTCCCAAATGTCAAGGTATAACATCAAGAAACAAGCCAAGTGATGAGGATTTTGATTCGGCACCAATCTGAGTTTCTGAAGGGTGCCTGTGGCAGCCATTAGTGCTGTTCAAATGTCTTCCATTCCTTCCCCTCTCAGGATATGGAATGATTGTAATTCTTGTCCATTTGAGTTTGCACTAATTCTTCCCAATGACTTTTGATAAGTGGAAGCACTTAATTGCCAATGTGAGGGACCAAGCACAGCTCTTTTTCCCCTTGGCAAAAAATTTTCTGCATGCCTTCCTAGAGAACTAAAGAAGTTAGCTGAAGATTTTGAGTATAATATGGCAGAGAAGTGATTAGGGATTTAAGTGGCCCCGAGGTCAAAGATGTCAAAGCTACTAATTTGAGAAACCAAGTAAGAGAGTCCAAAGAACCAGCAGAAATGATGTGGTACCCATCAGGAAAGGGTGATGTCATGGTTTTCTAGAAGAATGTTGAACATACAAGTGGGATACAGCAACCACAGGTATAGTGTCACAAATCACCTGGGGTTAAGGTCGGATTATACTCTATAATATATCTAAGGACCTAATCAGTGCAGTCCAAGTGAGACACTAATATATGCCAACCAACTCCTTAGTCACCTTGTACCATGACTTCATGTGAGACCTCAATATCAAAGTACCATTTTGTAAAATATTAGAGAAAGGACATGGAAATCTGAAAATTAGCACCATTGGAAAACATAAACTTATCTTAAAAGATTGCGGGGGGGGGGGCTTAGACAAAACCAAATTGAGCAATATTCTACAAAATACCAGAAAAGTGCTCTTCAAAGTTAAGATCAGAAACACAAGAGGTCAGAGAAATCAGCACAGATTAGTGGAGACTAAGATAACATGACAGTTAGATGCAGTATAGTATCCCATATGGGATGAGACGAAAACAGAAAAACAAAAACCAGAATCTGAAGAAAGCTTTGAAATATAATGTTTAGTTATGAGTTGTCTCATAGTATTATACTAATAGTGGAAACTGGATGAGGAGTGCATGAAAATCATCACATAATTTTTCTGTAAATTTAAACTTTCAAAATTTAAATTTAGAGAAAAATACTTCAGCTTTTCTTCTCACTTACATTTTTCTGAAAAACATGTAAAAAGGGATGTATTTTCATCCCCGTTTCTCTTTGAGTACTCTAGGGTAAGTTCTGGTTGTACCACATTGTCAAGACCAAGGAGGAGCCACAGTATTTTCCAAGTAACTGGCACCTTCCTGCCAGGTGTAATGATCCAGTCACTTGTGTTCCAGCCTGAGGGTGTGGGATACAACTCTTATCCAATGATGGCTCTTTTCTGGGCTTTTGTTGGTAAATGCCACTAAATAAATTGAACAACCTAGTACTGGAACATTATTCTCTAATGACTGCTAAACATATCATTTTTCCGCACTATTCCTTCACATAATTTAAACAAGGTACAGTGGTATCTTGGTTCATGAATTTCATTCCACAATTCTAGGGAACATGGCCATGTTAGTGTTCATTACCTGATGCAGAGCTCATTAACACAAGCAAAATTTTGTAAAATGCTCCTGTTTGTGAACCAAATTGTTTGAGAACAGATGCATTCATGAACTGAGGGACCAGAAATGTTTCCCAAAGAAAGCAACTGACTTGTTGCCGAAAGCAATGTGTTAAGGGTTAAATGTTTAGTTGTCCAGGTTTCAAGTGATTTTACTTTTTTTTGTGCTGAACAAACCATTAGCTTGATATGACAGATAAATCAAAGTTTTCTCAGCCAACACTATTTTTACCCCCAAAGAGTCTGTTGTTTAGGACCAGTGTTATTTTTCTGCATCAAGTGACCCTTTCCAGTGCAATTCTAAAATCTGCATTCTCAGTTCACTCAAAATACCACTAGTTTACAAAGTTGTACGGGGTGAACAAGCTTAATGATGGAATACTATTAAAAAGTCAACATGCTCAGGTTCTATGTATACAAGAAATCTGAGAATAACTGTTGTTTTGTAACCACTCTATAAATAAAAGTTCATATCACTGCCACCACTATCAACAGACACACGTGCACACAGAACAGCACTAATGAACTCATGAAACAACAAGGTTCTAGAAACACGTGGCCACACGGATATTCAGACAGATTGCAGGCACAAATCTAACAGCATCAAGTTCAAGAAAAATAAAGAAGTTACTCAAAAAATGAAATTGGGTGTGTTCACAATAGGTGTGACTGCTGGCTCTCACTAGGATTCACTAGTCATAATAAATCTATAATATATAATAATAATATAATTATATTATAATTATAATATAATAATTATATAATAATATATAATAAATATATATACATATATATATGTATATATATATATACACACACACACACACAATAACTTATCTCAGAGACCACTCGTATCTATTGGTTTTTATCCACAGAATTCAAGTGATTCCTCCATTTTCGGAATTCCACATCCTAGATCAAGTCTATAGATATGTTTTCTATAAAAATTCTGATACTACATGAAAACATAAGTTTTGGTGAACCACTTATAGGTGATTTTATCAATTCTGAAACTCATATGCTCAAAAAAATTATTAATTGAAAATTTTGATGTTTCATGCTATTGTGTTTGGGTTAAAAGGTTTGGTGTTTATTGCCTGAGATTTCCATTTTTCAATGAAGGCTCATCAGGATATTGTTTTCCTCCTCACTTGAAGCCTCTGGTATACATTCTTATAGAATTTTCTGACATTTATTTTCCTTGTTGTGCAAAGAACTGGCAAATGACATACAAAGAGACACAGGAGTGCATAAAACAACAACAACAACAACAAGATCATTTACTTCACTAGCAAAGGATTGGCCTGCACCAAGAGCTGTGCCAAATGACTGGCCCCTGACTGGGTGACAATCTGCCTATTAGAAGAATTCTACAATCATGACCTCATTTTAGGTGATAAGACATTTTAGTTCCCACAGTTCCCATCACAAATCACAGTCACAAGACAGTACAATGTTATCCCAAATATAGCATTTTCTTTCAGGATGTTTGTCTTTTAGCTATTCCAGACCACGAGAGTGGAGGTCAGGGTTAGGAAAACAGGACTGGTGACATTATCTTAACACCTTTATGCTCTTATGGTTTACAGAAAGTTTTATGGCTCACGGACTGTTCTTAGTTTGAACATTTGGTCTCATCCTGGGATGTGGTTTAGCACCTCTGGCATTGGTTAATTTTAAACCAGGGCTATGTGCCTTTTAGCTTCAATGGTAAATCCTCAGGTGTTTTGTTAAGCAAAGCAAATTACAGAAGCAAAAGGCAGTGGTTATTCCATTTTTTAACATTTTGTAGGTTTCAGACTATTCACAGAAGTTCTATCATCTTCACAGGGTTTCATCCAACTCTTAACATAGAGGGCTAATTTATGTGCATTTCACTGAGAGATCAAGTCGTAGAACTCAATAGAATATAAACTTATTCTTGCATAAAAATATAGTGGTAAAGAAATGAAGGTGGAGAAGTTTGTTGGTGTTATTCACTCTAGTTTCTTTCACTTTGTGCTCTACCATGTTCAGAACAGTGCCCAAATTGGCTGTAGCAATCATCTCCAGTCTATCTAAAAACCAACAAGAAGAAGGTAAGGTAATTTAACGTTTCAGCTTAAATACAACATTCTTTAAGATAACATTACATGGCCAGTCTCACCCAGATGAACAAGACAGAGAAATTTTGTCAAGACAGTGCATGTGATATGAGCTTGCTGTTATTTAAGCTAGGAGTTCCTTCAGGATTTTTCACATAAGGGTTTTCTCTCTGCTATGCATTCTAATGTGATGTACTCTGAGAGCTGCTTTTCGGACAAAAGTTTTCCCACAGGTATCACATTCATAGGGTTTCTCCCCTGTATGAATTTTCTGGTGCAGTTTGAGAGTTGAATTTTGGGCAAAGGCTTTACCACATTCATTACACTCATAGGGTTTCTCCCCTGTGTGAGTTCTGTGATGTGACCTGAGGGCTGAGTTATCAGCAAAAGTTTTCCCACATTCTTTACATTCATATGGCTTTTCCCCTGTGTGAATTCTCTGATGTGCAGAGAGGTGTGTTCTTTGAGAAAAAGTTTTCCCACATTCATTACATTCGTAGGGCTTCTCCCCTGTGTGAATTCTTTGATGCACTATAAGACCTGTCCTATAGACAAAAGTTTTCCCACATATGTTACATTCATAGGGCTTTTCCCCTGTATGAGTTCTTTCATGACCACTGAGGTATGCTTTCTGAGAAAAAGTTTTTCCACATTCACCACATTCATAGGGTTTCTCCCCTGTGTGAATTCTCTGATGGTTAATGAGGTGTGTTTTCTGGATAAAAGTTTTCCTACACTCATGACATTCATAGAGTTTCTCTCCTGTATGAATTTTCTGATGAGTTCTGAAAGCTGAATCACGGGCAAACGTTTTCTCACATTCATTACATTCATATGGTTTCTCTCCTGTATGAATTCTTTGATGTATTCTGAGAGCTGCATCACGGGTAAATGTTTTCTCACAGTCATTACATTCATAGGGTTTCTCCCCAGTGTGAACTCTCTGATGTGCTCTGAAGACTGAATTATAGGTAAAAGTTTTCCCACATTCATTACACTCATAGGGTTTTCCCCCTGTGTGAATTTTTTGATGTGGTTTGAGAACAGAAACATGGGCAAAAGATCTCCCACATTCATTACATTCATAGGGTTTCTCTCCTGTGTGAATTCTCTGATGTGTTCTATGGGTTGAATTATCAGCAAATGCTTTTATACATTCATTGCATTCATAGGGTTTCTCCCCTGTATGAATTCTCTGATGTGCACTGAGATGTATCTTATGAGAAAATGCTTTCCCACATTCAATACAGCTATAGGGCTTTTCACCTGTGTGAGTTCTCTGATGTGCTCTGAGATGTGATATCTTGGCAAAAGTTTTCCCACATTCAGTGCATTCGTGGGGTTTCTCCCCTCTGTGAACTCTCTGATGTTCTTTGAGGTGACCCATCATAGAGAATTTTTCTCCATAATCACTATCTTGAAAGAGTCTCATCTCTGTATCTGTTCTCTGCTGTTCCATGCAAGGAGATGTGTAACATTCCCCACAACCAATTCTCAGATATTCACTGAGGTTTGATTTCTGACAGAAAATGTGTCCATATTTATTGTCTTCATAGAGTTTGAACCCTATCTGGTCTCCTGAATGCTGAACAGGGTATGACTGTGAATGGCTTAATTTCCCAGATTCATCACACTTATCAGAGTTCTCTCTTGAGTGGGTCCTTTGATGCTGAATGAGATATGCTTTCTGAGAAAAATATTTCTTGCATTTCCCATACAGATTAGATTGGTAGAGTTTCTCTTCTGTTCTGTGATGTCTGGTAAGGTCTAATTTCTGGTAGAAGGTATTTGTACATATATTATACTCACAAACATGACCTCCATTTTGTTTTTCAGTATGTACTTGATGGACTAGATTGTGATCCAAATTTGCTTCACATTTAATGCTGTCAAAAGCTCTCCGTCTTGTAACAGGTCTCTGAGTTGGAAAGCAGGGTGACTTTCCACTGCAATTAATACCAACTTCATTGCATTCGCTATGTGTTATCACCATTTGAACTTTATTGTATTCCACAATGGTGGTTTTGTCACAGGATTCCCCACATTCATTAAGCTCAGAGCATTTCTCCCTTGTGTCAGATTCCCTCTGCTCAAACAGAGTTGTTTTACCACAGGATTTCCTAAATTCATCTTCCTCACAGGTCTTCTTTCCTAATGGAGAACTCCCAACTGTAATGCAGATAGTTTTATCATGTAACTTTTTTCCAGACTCACTGTGTTGAAAGGACTCCTCCAAGGTTTGAAATTTCTGATGATGATCTTTCTTATAACTGAAAACTTTCTCATTTTTATTACATTCATGAGATTTCTCTTTAGTGTGAATTTCCTCATGTTTAATATCAAGCTGTAATTTTCTATACATATTCATGGAATCAGTATTCTTTCTTGAATAGTTTCCCTCAGAAATAATGAACTTAGAAACTACTGGAAAGTTCATGCCACTCGAGTCACATTTACAGGGTATTTTTCCTGAAAAATCTGAAGCTATGCCCAGACTAAATGGTTTTCCTAAAACTTTCTGTCCTTCACTCAGTGCTTTGTCTTCCATTAATATTACTTGCCATGGAGGCTTCTGGTGTTTTTCCTGATTTCCTTGGATGTGGACATACTCTAAAATGAGAAAAATTGAAAAGTGTGAACCTCAGGATTTATGAAATAGCACAACGGAGAATTCCATGGCTTATCTTTTTACTTTCAGTATATCCTATACTCTGACATAAAAAAAACCCAAAACCTGGAGCTGGTAACAAGGAAATCCTATTGATTCTATTGATTCTAGCCAAAGGGCTGAGAAAAAGCAGTCTAACAGAAAACTTTTCTGATGAATCCTAACAGGCCAAACAAGGATGGCGTACTCCTCTTGCGGTTCCAGAGGCTGAGCAGTGTGCTAACAGAAGAATTGCATATTCTTATAATATATTTTCCTCTATGAGCTAAATGGGGAGCTCACAAGAAAGATGATAAAGAATCTTAAGAAAGGCCTATTCTTGGGATATGCAAGCCAAAGTCAAAGTACCACCCAAGAGCCTTTTCTTATTAAATTTATAGAACAAATATCTTAATACACAAGGACAAGAACAATAAATGTGTTGTTTTAGAACACTGGTAGCAACTCACAAAAGCTAGGGGAAGAAAACAACAACAAAACCAAAGAGGCAAGAACACATGATAGGCTTAGTCCTACATGTAGAAAAGAGGAAGTAGCATTTGTGATAACTACATCTCCTAAATTCGAAGACACAATGCTCAGAACACAAAACATTTAAGGCAGACATCATCCTTGGATGTAACACAAATCCTCACAAGCATAAAACAAGAGAAATCACACAAAAGATGATAATGACCTACAGAAAATTTGTATTTAAAATCAGTAAACAGATACATAAAGAAACAGAAAATAGTTATAAATTATAAATGTCTGGTTTTCTCCTAGGTAAAAAGAGGAAGTTTCATGTAAACTTGTGATTTTTTTTTAAGTAAATAAAAACAAAAACATAAAAGGAATTTGTGGATTGCAGCTAATGCAGCACGTGTACTTAGGGGTAAAATGATAAATTCAAAAATTTTTATTAGGGATGAAGGCTCTCCAGCCAGATACCTAAATTTCCCCTTCAAGAAACCAGACAATGGGTAGCATCAAGGACTCCAAAAACAACAAATGCAGTAAGGATGTGAGGAAAAAGCAACCTTTCTGCACTGTTGCTGAGAATGTAAACCAGTAGCCACTATGAAAAGTGGTATGGAAATTCTAAACTAAAAATACAGATTTCATTTGATCCAGCTATACTTTTCCTAGGTATCTTCCTGAAAGAGTTTATGTCATCTTATTAGAGTGATAAATGCATACCCATGTTTATAGCAGCACAATTCACAGTTAAATTATGGAGACTGCCTAGACGCCTATCAGATAAATGGGTAAAGACAATGGGGTATATATACATACTGGAGTATCACTTAGCAATAAATAAGAATAAATCTGAGTCATTTGGAGGAAAGTAGATGGATCTTCAAAGCATAATGTTAAGTGAAACAAATCAAACAAAGAATGTTAAGTATCACATGGTTACTCTTCTATGAGAAACCCAAACGAGCAAAATAAAGGAGAGATATGAGGGAAAATGGAGGCAGATTTTGAGATAGGGAATGCTATATGGAGAATGGGGAAATAGTGAGGGTAGGGAAGGAAAGGTGATCAAAAATGATCAAGATATATATTATGTGTATATAATATATATGTACATATAATATATAATTCCCCAAAATGAATGTAATTTCAAACATAAAATATTAAAGGAAATTAAATCTAAAGAAAGCAGAAGAGGGCTGGGAATTTAACTCAGTGGTTCTACTGCCTGCCTCGCAAGCCCAAGGACGCGAGTTCAATCCCTGGTACCAAAAAAAAAAAAAAGCAGAAGAAAGAAAAGAAGCCGAACTTAAAATAGAGGACAATATAGAACATCAAACCAGGGCTGGATGTGTAGTTCAGTAGCAGAACTCTTTAGCTAGCATGTGAGGCCCTGGGTTTGATCACTAGCATCACAAAAAACAAAGCAAATAACAAAAAAATTAGTCAAACCAAATGTCAGCTCTGAACAAATATTGTTTTCAATTATTTTGATAAAATCTATTGGAGAAAACAAATTGTCAATATCAGAAATGTAAAACAGGATATAATTATGCATTATTAACAGTAAAGAGGCCAAAAGAAAGGGCATAGAATGGTAATGTACACTTGTAATCCCAGCACTCTGGGAAGCTGAGACAGGAAGATCAGAAATTTGAACTGAGCCTAGGAAATTCAGTGACAATGAAACTTGCCTCAAAAATTAAGAAAAAGGGGCTAGGGATATAGTTCAGTGCAAAGATATTGGGTTCAATGTCCAGTAGAGCAAAAAGAAAATTAACAAAACCTTTTTGTTTGGGCTGAGAAAAAGAAAATATTATCATAGATTGGATATATGAAACCAAGGTGTGATCAATATACAGCATACACTAATGTGAATGTTTAAAAATTTTTAAATTTGTTATCATAAAAGATACATTGCTCTTAATCCCTCTCAAAATACCTCCCTTCCTTTGATCATGCTTATCCCATGATTTTTGCCAATTTCTGCAGCAGTTTTGGAAGGCCACACGTGATATGATCAAAAATACAGTCAACGATGCCACTGAACCCCATCCAAAGGAAAAGGCAGGCTCGTAAAATATGGTGTGTCTTCATCCTTCTTATTCAGTGAATCTGGTATTGTGTGACTTTTGGCTCTTTCTCAAAGTCAAACAACCATGAAAGGTAAGTGGTTTGAATCATTTCAGGAATTTGAGGTAGCCATGACAGCACAACCACAGACATTCTTCACAAACGAGGATTTGCAAACTGCTCCAGAAATTGGCAAGAATGATGGGATGAGTGTGTGTGAAGCAGGGGGGAATTTTAAGAGGAATTAATGGCAATGTGTCTTTTACTGTAAAAAAGATATTATAACATTTTAAACATTCCTCTTATTTTTCAATCACTCCTTGTATTTGTTCCTCAAAGTTGTAGGAGCTAGAAATTCAAGATGAGAATGTCAAATGTTCTTGTGAGAGCCCACTTCTGGGTTACAGACAACTGCTCCATGTATACCCAATGATACACAGGAGCCTCCTAGCTCTCTGGCCTCTTGCAAGTGTCTTCTAACCTCTTCATGGGGACTTCACACTCAGGACCTAATTACTTCCCAAAGGTCTAGGCACCAAAGATATCATATCCTGATTAGAGTTTCAATATATGAACAGGGGTAAGGGGACCAAATATTCAGTACACTGCAAATTCAATGCCCACAAATTTACATGAAGTGATACTTCACATGAAGTGAACAAATTTCCTGGAAAATGAATTTTCAAATTCACTCAAGAAAGAGATAATTTGAGGACACCAGTATCTCTTTAAAAATTGAATATTGTAAAAAATTGAAAAATTGTAATAGATAAGGGTTTCTGCAAACAATAGCTCAAGAATCAAATGGTTTTGACTAGTGAATTCCATAAAATATGAAAGAATTAATACCAGTCATACACAACCTCTTCAAGTAAATACAAGATAAAGGACTATTTTCTAAATGATTTTATGAGGCCAGCATTATCATAGTAGGATAAGGGGAAAAAAGAAACAGACCAATATTCATTATAAAATAAATGGGAAAATAGTACACAGCAATATATAAAAACAAATCATGTCCAAGGAGAATTTACCCCAGGAATCCAAAATTCCTATAATATTAAAAGCCTCTCAATATAACCCATTATATTAATAATCTAAAGAATTAAAACCACATCATTCAATTGATGGAAAATAATTTAACAAAATTCAAAATCCATTCAACTTAATAAAGGAATAAATGAAAAACGGCTAACATAATACTGTACTTGACCCTAAATGTTTTCTCTTTAAGACTGGGAAACAAACATGGTTGTCCCTGGTAACCACCACCTTTACTTTAACAAATTATCCACTGGTGCAATAACAGCAAGAATTAAAGCAACAAGGTACAGAGGGAGCCTATGTAAAACATCACCGCCACCACCACACATATAAATACAAACTCATTTACAAAAGAGCTTTCTGAAGTACTGTTGTAGCAAAAGGAAAATACACGGCCTATACATAATCCTATGCCCTTATACAAATAATGATCAGTGGGAATTTGAAATCAGAAACAGCATCATTTACCATTTTACATGTTTGTCCCCATTTGAATTTGTAATAGGCATTTCTTCTCTTTTGTCTTTCTTAAGATTAGCTAAAATTTGATTCATTTTATTGTTTTTATTCTAAGAAAGTCTATTTCTCAGTTTGATAGTTTATTAATACTGAATTTACTTTTAAATCTTTTGTTTACAAAAATTAGTGTATTCTTGTTACTCTTCTTGCCTACTTAAGATTACAAATTTACTTCTGTTATTTGCTTTATCTATAGCTAGTCTTTTCTAGTATAAGGTAACATTTACTATTTCCTAAGTATCATTCAGTTTTGGATCCTAGGTCCTTTTCGATTTTTTTTTTTTGTGTGTGTGTGTGTGGTACTGAACCCAAAACCATGGTACTGAGCTACATCTCCAGCCAATTTAAAATTTTTATTCTGAGTCAGGGTCTTACTAGGTTGCTACTTTGCTCATGTTGGGCTAGAACTTATGATCCTCCTGCCTCAGCTTCCCAGAGTAGTGGACTTATGTGGCAGCTATATTTCTTTTTTTATATATTGTTTAATAGAGATGAATTTTAAATATTTTTATGTGAAAAATCTTTTATATATTAATTTTATTGATTTCTAGATTTATCACATTTTGTTCAGAGAATACTGTGTGAACTATTATTGTGAATTAGGCTTACTAAAAGTTTTACTTTAGGCTAATGACATTTTCACTTTCCATGGGAACTTGAAAGCCTTGTTCTTCATATTCAGCAAATGGAGATCTTAGACATATTATGAGGTCCTAATTCTAATGAGTACTAAGTTCTTAGAATTCCATTTTGCATGTTTTTTATGTCTTGCAAATGCTTAAATATTTTTTAACCTGTGCTTTTGAGCTAAAGAGTCCTTTTAATGTAATGTATTTAATTGCTTGAACTCAAATCTAAATGGTAACAGAAAACGAAACCCAAACAACAACTCTACCCTTCTTTCACGGTAATCTAAGTTAGTCACATAGTCATGTCTTCTTTAGTCAATCGATATGTTCCAATCATTTATATTTAGTGACTTGGAGATATGTTTGATCTAAATTAGGTCAACATCTATGTTATGTTGTTTATAGGCTTCAAAAGAATTACTTTCAGTGTTTCATTTCCAATAATTAAGATGATTTGACTTTTCTACAGAAATTACACTGAGAACTACAACTTTTAAAAATACCTGGAACAATTTACCTGTATAGAAAAAGACTAACAAGCACATGCAAAGACACTCAACATCATTAGCAACAAAGGAAACTGTACCCTCCTCAAATTCATAAATGGGAGAGCTGACACCCAGCATAACTAACTATCTTTGGACACAAAGCCTTACAGGAGGTAGCAAAGTGAACTTCAAATGAAGTCATAAAGGTGGTACTGTGAAGCTGGTGCCCCTGCAAGAATAGGTAGAAATACCAGGGTGCCCCTGTACACATGTGCACACTCTTTCTGCTTTCTGACCTGCATTTGCACAAAGGAAGACTATGTGAGGATAAAGCAGAAAAGGGACTGCACACCAGGGAGATAAGAAACTCTCCTGACACCTTGATGTTGGTCTTCCAGCTTCCAGAATTGTGAAAAAAATATTATATTGTATTCTACAAAGCCAATGATATTAAGACAGCCCAAGATAACTAATACAGAAATACAAAAGAAAATCACAGTAAGATACCACTTCGTATCCACTAGGGTAACTAAAATAAAAAAGGATGAGGAGAAATGAGAACGCTCACACTGCCATTAGGAATGAAAACTGGAGCAATCGCTTAGAGAAACAGACTGGCAGTTCCTCAAACAGATAAACACAGAGGTACCATCTGACCTCACAATCCTACCCTAAGTACATACTATACATGAGAAATAAAAACATGTTTGTGCAGAAACCTATAAATGAATATTGATATAAACATTATTTGCAATTGTCAAAATGTGGCATCTTAAATGCAGAAACAAGGTATGGTATCTATGTATGCAATGGAATATTATTTGACCATAAAAAGGATGAACTACTGATACATGTTGTAACAGAAACCTTTTAAACATTATGGTAATCAAAATAAACCAATCACAAAAGCCTGGATGTTATGATTCCAATTATGAAAAATACCTAAAACAGGAAAATCTATAAAGACAAGAGATTATTGGTGACCTAGGGCTGAAGGAACGGGAGGTGAAGAGACTGAAAAGTAGGATTGCATGTTTTTTTTAAAGTGATTAAAACTAGTGATGTCTGACGTATATGTCAATATACTAAACATCAATGAACTGTATGCTCCAAGTGGGTCAACTGTACATGTAAATCACATCTCAACAAAGCTGTTAAGAAAAAAAAAGCTTTCAAAAGTGTTTCCCTCTTGGCACATGCCTGTAATCCTAGCACTTGGGAAGCTGAGATAGGAGGATTACTACTGGCTCAAGGCCAGCCTGGGCTACACGGTGAGTTCTAGGCCAGCCAGAACTATTGAGAGAGAGACCCTGTCTCAAAAAAAAAAGTGTTCCTCTCCGCTGTAGTTTGAATACAGGTAGTGTTTCCTAAAACTCCATGTGGAAAAGCTTGGTCCCCAGAATCCCAGAGTGGCACTCCTGGGAGATAGCGCAGCCTTTGAGGGAACCCTACTGTAAACTGTGAACTGTACATGTGCTCTTTAGAATCATCCAAATCCATCTGGAACATCTTGGGGGGCTTCCTAAGGTGAGAGGGTGTCTGCCCTCACAGGAGATTGCCCTTTTAGTCTCTCCCTCTGCTTACTACATTGTGAGGTGAGTGTTTGCTTTGCCACACTCCTGCTATGCTGTGCTGCACTTGCCACAGGCTCAAAGTATGAAACCACATGGCCTCAGACTGGAACTCTCAGAACTGTGAGCCAAAATGAAATGTCAGCCTTCTATGTTGATAATCTGAGGTATCCTGTTACAGTGACAGAAATCTGAACGGCACGTGTACCACAATGCTGAAGGCATCCAAGTGTCCTTCTGTGAGTGCTCACTCACCTTCACGCTTCTGATTCAGGAATTTGCACTCCAAAGACCATGGCTCTTCTCCTAGCTCCAACTTGAGTATCACCTCAGGTTTGATAATGCAGTACCCTGTGAAGAGTTGTTGAGGGAAATTATAGACTGGATCTCGACCTTTTGTGCTTTTCTAAGATGGCAAAAGATATAGCAAGCAGCAATAGCAACAAATACAAGAGAGCATCCAAAGTTCTCAATGGGAAAAAATGACATAATCATTGTGTTTCTCTAAAGGTTTCAATTATTTTAGGCATCTTAATCCAATAATCTAAAATCTTTTTTAGCCACCACAGACTGGTTTCATGGAAGATGATTTTTCCTCCCAAGAGAGGCTGGGGAGGGGAGGTGGCTCTGAGATTATTACAAAGAGCACAGATGTGCAGTTCACAGTAGGCTTCATGCTCCTCTGAGAATCTAATTCCTGCCTCTTCTTCTGATCTGGAGGAGGTAAGGTGGATCTCAGTCAGTAATATAAAAAATGAAGAGACACTGTTGAGTACTGACAAAGCTTCCCTACTCTCCTGCAGCTCATCTCCTGCTCTGCAGCCCAGTCCTAACAGGCCACTCACCATGGAATAGGGAATGGAAACTCCTATCATCCAATTAACAATGTTACCCAAGCATCAAATGCTGTAGTAATTTCTTTAAAAGCACATGAGTCCTGGAGGAGTCCTGTGCTTAGTTCTGCTTACCCACAGAGATGAGGTGGCTGTAGGTCTCCAGCATCACATCTCTGTACAGGGTCCTCTGAGCAGGGCCCATGAGCCGCCACTCCTCCTGGGTGAGCTCCACAGTCACGTCCTCCAGTGACACGGATGCCTGTCATAACACAAATGCCCAAGAGTTCAGAATTAGGTGACATAGAAAATACAATTGAGAGCTACCAATTTTTTGGTTTGCTCTTTAGGCTCTGAAACAAATGGTTTTATAAAAGGCTTAATTTGGAACTAATCTTGTCTTAAACTTTGGTGTTAATCACCAGTTTAAAAAAGACTGAATGTACCATAATTCATTTGCATATGTGCACAAATCACAGAATCTTTTAAGCCAATAATTCGATGAAGACATGTTTCTTAAAACTCCACCTCCCACATCCCAATGGATAAGCAACCCTGCATCTTCTTCAGGAGGCTCACACTCTCCTGGGCCATCCATCATCACTGTAAATTACAGAGCCAACTCACAGATCTGTGGGAGCTCTGGTGATGTTACACCTGATAGAACTTGTGTATAAAGACATATATAAATCTAGAGCAGAGAACAGCTTATACAAGAACTGGAACCAAAGAGACTGCTACAAGACAGTACCAGCTATATTGAAGTAACAACAAAACATATAGGAAGAAGGATATAATCACATTGGAAAAGCTCCAACCATTTAATAAGTACTTCCTTTGCAGCTATACAGTCCAGCTGTATGAGTGGCTTTTAAAAATTTTTAATTGACAGAAAGGCAAATATCCCAAGTGAAATCTCACTGATAGGAAGAGTCTAAAAATGTCAAACCATAGGAGTCAGAAGAATGGTGGTCACCAGATGCTAAAGAGGAATGGAGAGATTTAAACTTAAGGGTACAAAGTTTCAGTGAGGGAGGAGGCTCAGCTTTTGAGATCCACTCTTCAGCAGAGTGACTATAACTCCTAAAAATGTAATATACACTTCACACTGGACAGCTGCTGGATGGTTCCATAAACTGATACAGAGGTGCCAAAAATGAAAAGATAAAGTGAATTAGAAGTTGGAGTGAAAGATTGGCTTACGTTCCCATGCAAGGATCAGTAGAAAAGAAGGGTCAAATGGTCCATATACACAGGACATCAGGGTGCAGATAAGAGGTATAAGATGAAGACAGCTGTCCCTAGCAGTTTAGGGAGTATATGAAGTTCTCATATACCACGTGTGCCTTAACACAGGGATGAGAGAAAAAAATATAGTACATCCCTGACTTACAAACGAGTTCTGTTCTGGGAGAACATTTGTAAGTTAGATTCTAAGTCTGAGAAAGTGAGCTATATACTTTTGACACAAATATACAATGAAAAGCATTAAAAAAAAAACCTACAAGCACATGCAATACTGTAAATAAACTAATTTTACTTTTATAGACATCTACCATCTTTTCATCTCAGTCCAATCTCTCAATTATTTTCACTTTTGTTTGCATGGTTATTGCTTTGCGCTTCTTAGCAGTTTCCTCCACATCACTTTTCCTCTGGCTTCTCGACATCCTGGGTTCTGACTGAGCACTGTACTGCTGTACAGTATCAGTAAGCACACAGCAGCACAACCGTGACAATGTCTGGCAGACATGTAAGCTACTTGTGCAATTTTTCCCCATTTACAAATGTGTGTAATTCTAGGTCTGTTCTAATCTGTGAAAGTTGACAACATGAACGTTCAGAAGTCAGGGACTTTCTATCACAGCTGAGGAACCATGGATATCAAAAAGGTTGCCAGAAAATGTGCTGGTCACAAAGCCAGAGAAGTTTCCTGAAAACCAGGAGAAGAGGCTAGAGGCTTTGAACTAAGAAAAGGGACATTTTCTACAACAGAAACTTTAAAATTCAAGTGACATGTGAAAATGGTAAAGATGCAAGAAAATCCTCTTCTGTAAAAGCAATGAGAAGCTGCAACAATTTTCAAATCAACTTTCCAGGGTTCCGTAAGCAAACTAAAAATGTGTAGCAGTTGCATGAAAAAATAGCTGTACTTAAGAACAACTGATTCTGTACCATTTTTAACTTGCTCCATTTCCCCAGGTCTATGGTAGCTTTGACTAAGAATCAATCGCTGGAAATAAGTGAAAATCCACAATCTTGCAAGGAGGAGCAAGCAGAATGGGGTAAAAGTAGTGTCAAAGCCGCATGCCCGACAATCTGTGTCTACAGGCCTGCATGGTGGTTGTCTGGAAGACCTCACCTGCAGGGCTATCTGTGTTAACTCAAAGCACCCCCAGTGTGAAAAGCCCTACTCTTTGAGGAAATGTCACCAGCATTTAGAAGCATTCTTTAACTATCTACCTGAAATGGTGGGTAACAATTAGGGGAAAGTAAGAGCACAATCAAAGAGTGAGAAAGAAAAGAATAGGAATGTGATGTCCATAAAAGTTTTGAAAAGCTCATAAAAATTCTTGAGATTACAGTAGAACACCTCATGCAAAGTACTGAGTAAAGCTCAGGGCTGTGAGTATGCTCAGAATAGACGTGAAAAGTCCCTAAACTGTCACCTCTGGGTGACTTAGGAGACCGGAGTAAACAGAGTGTGAAGGGCAGAGTTGTAAACTGCCTGGATGAATACTGAAGCACTGCCCTAATGTTCACAGAGCCCTATGACCAATGCCAGGAAACTTAATGGTTTCAGGCTTTTCAGGAAATGTGTGCGGGGACTCTACTAGCAACCCATAATAAAAAAAATAAGGCTCTATATATTTAATTTTTAAAAAGTACCCATCAAATAAATCTCAACAACAGTAAATAAATGCTAGGCAAGGTGGCCCATGCCTATAAACCCAATAATCTGGGATGGTGAGGAAAGATGACTACAAGCTTGAGCCTAGTCTAGCCATATTCCCTCAGGGAGCCTGTCTCAAAATACAAAATAAAAGTAAATGAATGTATGTGGAAGACCTAAGTGCAAAAAACCTGAGTTTCAATCCCCAGTAGTGGAAAATACATTCATAAATACATAACACTTCTTCCTGTGTAGAGAAGTCCTTGATTTCTAGAGTTGTCACATTACTTTATTCAAAACTTATAGTTTTTAACAGAAAATTATGAAACAAAACAAACAAACTTAAGGCTCATATCAAGGAAAAAAGTAATCAATGTAAAGCACTTCTACGGAAAGATACTGGACTTGGCCAGACCATGACATTCAATCAGCTACTTAAAATATGGTCAAGGACCAAGAGGAATGTCCAGTGACCCCAGAAAAGTATGAGAACAAAAATCTCACCATACAAAGGATATCAACAAAGATGCAGAAATTATAAAAGGGAACCAAGTAGAAAGTAGAGTTGAAAAGTACAATAACTGAAAGAAAACTCGCATGCAAAGTATGCTCAACAGCAGGTAAGAGCAAGTGGGAAAAAGAACAAACCAACTGCACAACATATCCATTGAGACACAAACACGTCAACATACCCAGTGTAAGACCCAAAGATAAAATGAGGACAAAAAATGGAACTGTGGGACAGCAAAAGTTTATCAAGAGGCACAAGGAGAGCATCAAACAGAGAGGAGAGACAAAAAGAATCTGAAACAATGTCTGAAGATTCAATGCCAAAGCAGTTGTTAAATATTTTGAAAATAATTTAATACCCCCAAGGTCAATAAACTTCAGGAAGGATGAACTCTGACTCAGAGATCCACACTTGGATACAAGATAATCAATGTGTTAAAAAGGCAAGGACAAAGAGACAAACTTGAAAGCAGCAAGAGAGAAATTACTCATCCTATTAAAGCTTATTTCTAAGAGAATTCATGGATGACAAAAAGTAGGGGAATGGAATATTCAAAGGAATGGATTAAGCTTTCAACCAAGAATTCTTTACATCCAGCAAAAACAGAAAAGAAAACCTTCCCAGATGGCCAAAAATCAAGAGAACTCATCACAACCAAAACTGCTCCATAAGAACTAATAAAGTGTGGCTCAGCAAATCTACCAAAAGCCGATTAAGGGTTGTCTGGAACTTGGGGACAACAGACTAAGAGTTAAAGTATATATAGTATGTTTTCCAGGCATCCTTTATAATGTCCAAAAATTGTGGTGATGTCTGCATATGTCTGAGAATATACTGAAAAATTACTGACTTGCGTACTTTTATTTCTTTCTTTATTTTCACTTCCAGAATTTTAATGGGTCAACAGTACAGTGTGAGAGCTGAATTTCAATAAAGCTTTTAAAAAATTAGTGAAGGTGAATTACTAGAGACAACAGAGAAGACTTAATAGTCAAGGATGGAAAACGGACATGGGCCATGTGAAAAAAAAAATGCTTAATGAAGGTATTGGCAGGGAAGGACAGGGATAGTGGATGGAGTCACTGACAGAGGAAAGTTCCAGAACAGAGGAAGAGTAAGGCAAGGGCTGTAGAAAAGTTAAGTACAAAAAGGCTAAGATAACACCCATTAGATTTTATTATAATTCAGTCAGGGTCCTGGAGATCATATGCAAATGAGAAGAGAAACCAAACCATCACAAAGATTTGAAGCTGGATGCAAAGTGTGAAAATATTGAAAGAGAACAGAACTTTAAACTATTGAGCAAGTTGAGTATCACAAGTATTGAAAAATTGATGGAGAGCATTTAAGCAGTGTAAATTTTTCATCTTAAATAGATCTAATTCAACACTTATGTTTGAGTTCTTGTAAAAAAAAAAAAAAAAAAACTCTTGGCCAAGATTGCATTTATCATTGTTTGTGAGTTGTCCTGAGGAACAAATGTAGACAACATTCTACATTAGTGTAACACCTAAATCTCCTACTTAAAAGAACAACAAATATATTTACTTTATCTTCTACATATCATAAGGAAGCAGGCTATTTGACTTAACTTTCTCATTGATGTACATCTTTAAATATTGTTTCTCTAACACTCTCCCATGGCTAACAACTCAGAAAGAAATTCAGAGCTCATTGTGGTAAATTTGTAATAACATCTATTACACAGGCTACTTTGGACTCCACTCTTCCTGTACCTATCTATACCTTCTATGAAGGTTTTTAATTCATTTTTGTTTCTATTTTTCCATGTGGATGTACAGATCTAGCATCCTTTATAAAATCCACAGGAAAACAAGCTGCTTATTAAAAATTGATCTTACCTGAGATACGTTCATTTCTCCAGCTGCCAGAAGAGTGTATGGAACTGTGATGGTTCAGCTGGGGAGGCAGACAAGAGAAATGGGGCCATGAGAAACCTGTTCTGCTTTGTATTTTCTACATTTACCTGCCTAAAAATCTCATCACATCAGCTGGATGAAAGGCTTCCCAAGGGGGTACAACCCTTTGGGTCTTGAGAAGGGTCAGGAAGGACCACAGGGAGGTAGCAGCACCAAAACCTATGCCATCACTGACACAACTGTGTAGGTCTGTATTGTCATTAGTAAGGCAAAAGTGCTTTTTCATCAAGGTATTAACAATGAATGACCAAATAAAACATCAGAGGATTAAACATGCTCAGCCATCAAAGAAATAAAACTCCCCAAATTCATTAAAACTAATGTCACAAAACCTGCTTAGATTGGCTTATTAAGTACTTACTGCCTTTACACCCCAAGTTAGAATTTCCACAGAAAACTGAATTCAAGATGAGCTGTTTTATGCAAGAAATACACTTTTAAACTTTTTCCCTAAATTACTTGTCTCTTCTAAAAAAACATCTTTGTATAAAAAGCTATGACACTTACCACTGACATCACTGTGCTTAATACCTGGTCCTCTCCTATCTGATGACTCTACAACAGTCTTTCATTTCAGTGCAGTATTTCTGGGTTGCTGTTATAGAAAAATTCTTCTACGATCATTTTGTTATTCTCTAGGTTCACTAATGAAGGAGCAACAGCATACATCTAAATGCCACACGTGGTGACGCACCTGGGAGAGTGGCCCAGAATCTGTCGAGAGTGAGGGGAAAATGAGGGAAATGGGATGCTGTGTAGGATTTTCACCAGCTGATTGTTCTCCCCAGATACCATGCCCTCACCAGGCCTCCACTAAGGTGACTCTTGACTGTTCAGCCTGAGCGTCGTCCATCCTCGTCAAGCTCAGACGGTCACCTTCTGTACACTGGCCTATAGCTTCGTAGTCACAAAGCCTGTGATGGCTCCCGGACATGGTGATATTACTAATTCTGACACATGCTATACAAGAAATCATGGCCTACTCCTTCCTAGAACATTCTGTTCTGCTCTGAAGCTCTGTGAGTGGGGCCATCCTACTATGTGGGAGAAGTTTCTGGGAAAATGTTTCTTGCTTTACAAGAGCTGCTTTGCTTCTGAGGGGCTGGACCTTGGACCTGAGAAACAAATTCACTTTATGTGAAACCTTCATCGAACACTCTAAACCTGAATCTTGGAATTCACTACAAATGTGCCACCTGGACCTGCAGCCATTGAACTGTACATACAACTTGGGAGCACCTGAAGGTTGGCCAGTGCCCCAGGCCACTATTTGGGGGGCACTGAGTAAAGTGACATTGGCTTTGCCTGACACCCCTTTTTCTCTTTTAAACTTTCACTTACTGAAAACATCCAAATTCCATGTGTGTTGGCCATTATTTTCTCCTGGATATCACTGCACAAGAATAGAGTATCAATTTGTGCCTTTTAAGACTGAGACACCCGGAACAGTGTGGGGAGGGCCTCAGGAGCTTCTTCTGACCCAAGAATTCGTCAGAGCGTCCACAAATCCTAGTAAATTTCGTGACTTACCATACGGTGATACTTTGTGCACATTCCCTTCACCACCACACGTAGCGATGTGGGGACTGGCCACTCTGCGTTAAGTGTTCTGAAGGATTTAGGAAGGTACTAGCACCTCCAGGCTTGGGGCAGGTAGGACACTAGGAAGAGAAAGAGATAAGGAGTAAAATCTACTTCTGTTCACAGCGTCCTCCTCCTCACCTATTCTGTGTCCTGAGGATCCACCGCCGTGATAAATCATTCTTTCTATTTTTAAAGGCTTTTTTTTTTTTTTTTTTTGGACGTTCTGAAGAGACAAAAAAAAAAACACCAAGCAAAGGGGACAGTGTCTGGTAATGAGGTTAGCAGCTAACTCTTACACGAAAATGAAAAAACAATTAATAACAGCAGCAGGAGTCCCGACTAGTAGCTTCCACCCCCAATCCGAAAGTCACGACCTGGCCAGAGAGCGTCCTCTGGGGGCGCCGCAGTCCCGCACCCCGGGGTCCGCCATCTGGCCCGGCCGCGAGCGGGT